GGGAAATATATATATATATGAAGAGTAATTGGTACTTGTTGACAGTGTCTGGAGAGGAATTGGTACAGGGGCAGGTGAGGGAGCACAGAGGAGGGACAAGTAAGTGCCTCAAGCAGAGAGGCTGCGGAGAGGCATACAGATCAGATGGGGTGAGAGGGAGGGGTTCTGGAATTAGACTGCCTAAATTCACATTCTGGCTCTGCTGTATGACTCTGGACAAGCCGAGTTGCTCCTGAAACACACCAGGGCTGAAGAAGGATAAATTTCCCGGGGGGATGATGCCAGATGACCTGAGTACCATGCGATTTGGAGACCCTCAGAGATACAGAGGTGTCCTGGAAGCAAACAGGACAACTATTGTTCTTCCTGCCTGGGTGGAGGGACCCTCCTGGAGGATAGAGCATGCCCTTGGTCTGCCTGACCCTATCCAGTTAGTTCCTCAGAGTGAATCAGGAACAATGGATCAGAGGACACCACTCTAGAGCTTTGTTTCATTTGTCACTTCCCTTATTTGTTCCTTCTGCTATCTCCGTTTTGCCCATCACCTTCTCATGTCACAAAATGGGACATAGTGCTCATCTTTGGGGGCAGCAATAAAGGAGAGACTCCTGCTCTTCAGGCAGGCTAAGAGAAGAAAGACCAGGGAATCAAGAGGAGCCCCAAGAAGGCTGAGTCCTTGGAGCCACATCAGAGACAAAGGGGAACTCAGATGTAGGGGAACTCTGAAGAGGTTGGGGCTGGGATTGAGCAAAAGACCCTTGTGGGTTGCTGGTGAGCTCCAGGAGCTGGAACTCAGTGAGGACTAGGCTGGGAAGACCCGTTTGGAAGACACCGGGGCAGAGACGAGATCAGTTCAGGGCCTTTTTCCTCCTCCTCTCTGTCTCCACCCTGATCTTTTAGGGGAACCGAGTCAGCTTTAGCATTTTGACCTTGAGAAAGAGGGAAGAATTGGTCAGGGGGAAAAACCTGAGGACATCATGGGTGTATGGAGAGACTGTACCCTGGGCAACCTGCTAGCCGCTCCACTTGCATCACCCCATTTAATCCTCACAATCCCACACAGCACAGATCATTGTCATTCCCATTTTAAAATGAAACTAAATGGCTATATATGCTCTTATAGCACGCTGTACTTTTGTATGATTACCTGTTTAAGATTTATCTTCCTTGCTAGTTACATGAGGATAGGGACTTGTCTATGTTTTCACTACTGCATCATTGACATGTGACACTATACCGGGCCCAGAGAAGGCTTACACTAAGTATGTGTTCATAGAATGAATGAGAGAAGTCATGTAACTTGTTAAAGACCACAGTGTAGGTGGTATAGCCAGAATTTGAATCTTGGACTATTCCAGAAGCTGTGATCTCTCTATTCTACCCCCACCAAGTGATTTCATATGTTGTCCCACTTCTCAATGTCCTGGCTCGGTGTCCTTGTCTCTCAGTTGCTTGTGAGGACAAACATATACCACATACAAAGAATTCACCTATGCAGGGAAAGCAAGTAAGAGAATAGGAAGAAGAAACAGCCCATCTGGGGTTGTGCCCACCCCACTCCTACCCTCTGCAGCTTAGCATCCTCCTCCTCCAAGAAGCCTTTGCAGACAGACCTACCTATCTTCCTATCTCCTTCTCCTCTGGCCTTATTGGCTCTTCCCACATCTGTGTCACAGAAGTGGCTCCAAGTCACCTGGCCTCTGATGGTTCTACACATATTAGTGCTTTATTAAGGCAATTTAATTCCACAGATGTATACTGAAGGCAACTGTGTGCTCTGGCCTGCCTGTGCCAGAGCCAGTGGGTGGACACAAAGATGAATCAGACACAACCTCAAAAGACTTACAGTCAGTGGGGGAGACAGACATTAGGCACAGATACAATTAACTAGAACATAAATCAAGATGACCTAAATGGTACGAAAGAATGAGCAGTATGCTACATGCATAAACCTTAATTACTTAATTATTATTCTGAGGAAGGTATCATAGAAGGTCAGAGCTCAAAGGTATCATCTGGTTCAACTCCTTGTTTTCCAGTAGAGGAGTCTGAGACCAGAGTCAGGGAAGGCCTAGAATGAGGTCTCACTAGCCAGTCTGGCTGAGCCAAGACTAAACTTCAGGTCTTCTGAAGCCCAGCCCAAGGCTGCTTCCTCCTCTGGTAGCTCCACGTGCAGCAGTCCCATATCCCACCAGACCATGAGATCCTTAAGGCTAAGTCAGGCTTTCCCACTAAGCAAGCTGAACCGGGGCCAGGCAAACCCAAAACCAGGGCTCAGGAAATGCAGACTGACCCCAGGCTGACAATCCAGGCTTTTGGTCTACTGCACCTAACGTGCACCCTACTATGCCCCTAAAATTGATTTTCAAATATTTTTTGCAGGAGCTCTTTATCTAGAACACTAGTGTATAAATCAGATAAAAGGAAAACAACTCTATTTGAAGAAAGAGAAGGCCAGAGCCCCACTAATTTCCTGCCCTCAAGTCCTGGGAAGGGAACTCTAGGAATACAGCTCAAAAACCTTTGTTCTGAGACACAATTTTTCTTTTTTTAAGATTTTATTTTTCCTTTTTCTCCCCAAAGCCCCCAGGTACATAGGTGTATATTTTTAGTTGTGGGCCCTTCTAGTTGTGACACGTGGGACACTGCCTCAGCATGGCTTAATGAGCGGTGCCATGTCCGCACCCAGGATCCGAACCAGCGAAACCCTGGGCCGCCAAAGCCGAGCGCTCGAACTTAACACTCAGCCACGGGGCTGGCCCCTATGACACAATTTTTAATGGCTTCATAGAAGCCATTTTAGTGTATAGTCCTCCTCTGAACCCTGTCTTTTATGGAAACTCACAATTCTTTCTCCATCATCAAATGCCGAGCACCAGTTATGTGCTCCCAGTAGAGTATACAGGGAAATGAGATTTTCCCCTTGTCTTTCTTGTTCTCCTCTTCTCCATAGAGAGGAGTTTGTCCCAAGCGCTGTCGGGAGGGAAGAAAGAGACCCAAACTCTGCCTGGAGGGGTCAGATGGAACCCTCCCAGAAGTGTCATGGAGAATGAATTTATCCACTCAGTTATTTACCAGCCTGAATCTGATAGAAGCTCTAACTTTGCTGTCCCATACCATACCCACTACCTACATGTACTATTGAGCAATTAAAATGTCTAGCCAAAATTCAGATGTACTTTTAAGTGTAAAACACACACCAGATTTCAAAGACTTAGTAAAATCAAAGAATGTAAAAGATCCAATTCATTTTTATAATCAATAACTTTTATATTGACTACACATTGAATGATATGCTGGGCTAAGTAAAATCTATTATTAAAATTAATTTTAGGGGCTGGCCTGGTGGCGTAGCGGTTGAGTGTGCACGTTCTGCTTCGGCAGCCTGGGTTCACCCGTTTGGACCCGGGTGCGGACATCGTACTGCTCGTCAAGCCATGCTGTGGTAGGCGTCCCACATATAAAGCAGAGGAAGATGGGCACGGATGTTAGCTCAGGGCCAGTCTTCCTCAGCAAAAAGAGAAGGATTGGCAGCAGATATCAGCTCAGGGCTAATCTTCCTCAAAAAAAAAAAATAATAATTTTACCTGTTCCTTTTTACTTTTAAAAAATGTCACCAGTAGAAAATGTTAAGTTACATATGTGGCTCACATCATATTTTCATTGGACAGCACTGGGAGAGACTATCAAGTGTGTGTTGTTGGAGGGAGGGATGCTGGCTGGCAGCCAAGCAGGGATTACCAGATTGTGAAAGACTGAGTCAATTTCGTGTGGCAGTCAATACAGGAAAGAAATCAGGCAGAGGGAATAGAATGCACAAAGACCCAAAGATGTGGGCAGGCACCTTGGGTTTAGGGAACTCATTCTTACAGGTTTGTTTTCTTTTTAAGGCATTCGTTGAGTGTTTACTTTGAGGCAGGCATTGACAACAGGCCTTTTACATCCATCCTCACGTTACCTTCACATCTCTAGGATAAGGGAGAAGTTAGTCTATTTTACCAAAGACAGAATCGAGGCTCAAAAGAGTTAACCTATTTATTCCCAGAGGTATTCGTCCTCTTTATTCGGAAAGCCTCTTGGAGATAGGGAGTCTGTCTTAAACGCTTTTCAGTTTTCCTCCACAGCACCTAGCATAGAGCTCTGCACGTGACTGGCGCTCAGAAACTTTGCGTTAAGCCGCTATTTCAGGTCAGAGCTCCAGGCGCAAGGCCTGGGAGCAGAAGCACCAGAGGGCGCCCATGAGTCCGCCCACCCGCCGGTCCCCAGGGCTCGGGGAGGATCTCAGGCCTGGGTGCGGCCCTTCAGTCCCAAGCAGTTGCGCGCCCCGGCGAGAAGACAAGGCGAGGGGAGCCCCATGTCCTCCGTCCGCCCCGCCCCCTCCCCAGAGCCCAGGCGCGCGGAGCCGCCGGGTGCGGAACGACGACACGACATCCTGTTTTTGGGGCCCGCGGCTCCGCCTGCGCCTCTGCTGATCTCGTCTTCCCCTGGGTGCTGACGCCAGCTCCCCTTCCCCCAGTCTCCGCACCCTCCCAGGGGTCTGGGGCCTTCCCACTGCTGAATCACCACCACCCCGTACTCCCCCGGGGCTCGGGGCAGGGGTGGGGACTGCCCCAGCCTGACCCATTCTGGCCAGCCCCCAGCCTTGGCCATCGCACCATCCCTGGGCTTGACTGAAGGCACCAGGCCTAGGGGCGCCAGTTCTCAGCATCTTCCCGCGGGGATTCGTGGGGGCGAGATACGGGGAGGGGTACAAAAGCCTAGTGCCTAGGCTAGGGCCTCTACTGGGGTGGGGGTGGCCGGGAGGACGAGACGAGGACCGACCTTGGGAGGCCTGACCTTAAGGGTCTCAGAGGCAGGGGGCTGGGTTTGGGGAGCCCAGGACTGAGTGGTGGGCGAGCCTGGTGGGAGGAGACCCGGGCGGGGGGACCGGCCTGCGGACTTCCTGGTCGGGCCCCGCCCCGGCCCGCCCCCGCGCCCCGCCCCGGCCGCCGGCCCGCCCCCCCCACTTCCTCCGGCCTCCCGCTCTCACTTCCTTCTCGAGCCCCGAGCCGCTGCCGCCGCCCCCAGCTCCCCCGCGGCGGGGAGGGCACCAGGTGAGGCCCGGCGCGGGCGAACGGGCTGGGGGTCCGCGGGAGGGGAGCCCCGCCGGTCCGGGACTGGGCGCGGGCGCGGGCCCGGGAAGTTTGCTGGCGGGAGGCCGCGGGCGGGAGCTTCTCTGCTCCCTCCAAGTTGGGCGGGCGCGGCCGGCCGGGCGGGGCGGGGACCCGGCCACTGCGAGCGGGGCGGCTCGGTGAGGGTGCGTTCCTGTACCCAGGGCGGCTGTACCGGCTCCCGGGAGCCGCAAGGGACCCCTGAGATCGGAGGGTCTCCCACTCCGAGCGAAAAGCCTCTGAAGTGGAAGAGCTCAGAGCTGGGAGATGGGACTCAGAGGTGGGGTGCCCTCGGAAGTTGTGGGGGGGCATACCGAAGTGTGTGGGGGGGACGGGGCCTCTGGCTGGAGAAGGCGCCCCCCTGCTCCGGCAGTTGTGACACTTGTGGGGCTGAGAGGGGGGCGGCGTCTGTAGCCTCTGAAGCCTAGACTGCAGATAAAGCTCCCTCCCTGGAAGATCGATGCCAGTCCCGACCCGCGCGAGCAGGCTGCAGCCGAGGGTCCTCTGCGCTGCGGAGGAGGGCGGGGAGTCCCGCCGACCCCAGTCCTTCTCTCTGTATATCTGTTTTTCTGAGGCCCAACCTCTCCATCCCTGGAACCAAACAACAGGTATTTAGTGAGCAAACATCCGCTGTGCCTAACCGACCGGTGCCTGGCCTTGCTCTTTTGGGGGTAAACTGAGGAAGGAAAGGGCCCGGTCTTGTCCTGTGACTGGAAGAAGAAGGACTCTTATTCAGAGGTACTGTTAGTCCCTGACAAGATGGCATCGCTGAGAACAGGACTACTTTCAGGAGATGGAGAGCGGCCGGGCCCTGGTCTTGGGAAATGATTGGAAGCCATCTCCTAGTCTTTTACACCCTAACCCTACGCCACCCCTCTTAGTCCCTGAATTCTATACATTCTCATTCTGTCTGCCTCCATTCCTTCAAACTCTATCCACAAACCCTCCATCACCCTCTTTCTTGCATCTTCTTCAGTTTTTTTTATCCCAAACACAGTCATGCCTAGGCCCTGACCTCTCACTTACCCTGCCACTCTGGCCATCTCTGTGTCCCCTCAGCTGCCCTCCTCCCTTCCTTGCCCAGCTTCTGGCTCCCGCACACGTATCCACCCTCCTGCTTCTTCCGTCTCCCCTCATTCCTCTCTGTCTCCTTCTCTTTCAGCCACTTATCTCCAGCTTTGGGGTCAGGATCTGCTGTAGAAGACTTGGTGAGTTTGAGAGCCTTTTCAAACGTCCCTAGCCAGGAGAGACAGGCTGCAACTTCCCAGTGATAGAGGTGATTAAAGGGCTGGAAAACCTCTCTATATGTGTATGCCCGTGCAAGTGTCTGTGTCTACATCTTTATCTCTTGGAGACAAAATAACTGCCCTCAGCCTTGAGAGGGCCCAGAGCAGGGGAAGCTAGCAGAATGAAGGGAACCTGCAGCGGGTGAGCTTGTGGTTAGGCAGGAGGAAGCAGTCTGTAGCAGTCAGGGTAGAGTGACATAGGAATAAGACTGGTGAGAGAGGCCATGGGAAATCAAAATCACCCAGACGCTGGGGTGCTTGATCAAGAGACCAGGCCTGGAGCCCGGGGGACAGCCTGAAGGTCCCTGACTCCAGTGCTTACTGGTTCCAGCAATGCCTGGTGGGAAGAATGGGACCAGGTCAGTTCGATGTGATGGAAGAAAAGGGAGGGAGCAAAGGCAGGATTCTGGAGGGAAGACTATAGCTGGTCAAACTTCAGTCTTAACTGTTTTAGTTCCAATTCAGGAAAAGAAGAGGGGTGGGAGGCAAAGCTGTCTTCCCCCTCTTCCTGCTGCCTTCCAGGGACTGCCCAGACTGGGTACCCACGTGTCATGGGCTGCATTATGGCCTTGGTGACCAGGAAGCCCTCTGGAGTCTGCTGACCCCTCTGCCTCAGGCATCCTTAATATTCCCCCTCGCACCTAGGACCCTACTCCCTCTCTTACAAGAATTTCTCCTCAGTCTAACTGCAGCCCAGACTATCTCTGTGAGCTCTTGTTGTCCCTATTCTAGAGCGTCTTCAAGCCTTTCGGATGCATGCTGAGAGGTCCTGCTTCTCTCTACCTAGAAAAAAGAGAAGTGGAGGGGAGCAAGTGCTACTTTTTTTGGGATTCCCAAGCACAGCTAGATTTAAGGGCTATCCATGATCCCCATTCTGTCCTCTTCCCTTCTCATAGTTGTCCCGCTCCCACGAATTGTCCCTTCTTCCAGTCCTGTCCTGGACCCACCTGTCTCTCCTACTCTTGTTTCTGGCAGGTGTAGGGGGCTGGGTCCCAGGAGGAAATCCCAGGGACCTGCAAAAAATCCCAGCTCCGGGAAGGATGTGCATGCAGGGCACATTCCCAGCATCCCAGCTCAGTAAAAAACCACCCAAGAGTACTGGCTCCCTGCCTGCCAAACCAGTACTTATTTTAGGATTCTGTATAACTGAGCAATCCATAGGGCTCTGAGGGTGAAGATAGGATGGATGAGACGAGTTCTCCCAGGCAAGATCTGGCCCCACTGGAGGTTTGAGCTAATTGCAAGTCATTGCTGGAAAAATATGACTAGGGTGGGAGGGATCTAAATGGGAAAATATCATGGGGGGTTGTGGGGGTGGGGGGGGCATGCAACCTAGGAGGCTGCCTGTTGAGCTCTTGACTAAAGAAATATGGTCAAGGTCATGATATGAAAAGTGGCTGATATGAGATTGTCACAGATCCTGGCTGGGAATCTAGGATGTGGAGAGTTGTTTCTGGATGTTACGTCAGATGAGGTGGCTGGTGTGAACTTTTAGGGGGTCACAAGCAGGAAGATACGAGAGGTCGTGGTTATAGTGAGACAGTTGAAAAGATATTAGAATGGTGGTAGCTGAGGAACTGGAAAGGAAATAGGGGCCTGGGCCCAGACTGAAGACCCCTACCTCCATACACAGTGTAGACCCATTAATGGTGAGGCTTGTAGAGGTCTATGAGGAGGGAAACCAAAGACAAAGCCTGGGCCACCTCCCTAGAACAGATTGGTTTTCCTGTCCAGGGTCCAGCTTCCTCTTTTGTCCTCATCTCATGGGGGGAGGGCATCTCCCCAGGAGATAGAGGCTAGAGGAGGAGCTCCTCAGCTGCGGCAGGCCCAGCATGGCTGGCTGTCCAGTAATGGCAGTTCTAAATCATGGACCCCGCAGTATGGGTTAAAGCACGAGAGCCTGAGAACTTAGAAGCAAAAAGGGCTCAGATGTCAACCTGACCCCTTTGACCCATTTCCTGAAGGGTTGAACCATGGTAAGGTCATCCTGAATGAAGTCATAAAAATAATGGGTCCATTCCTAGGCCAGAGTGTAACAATCCTCACTTTCTCTTCTTTGTGGAAGGCTGGAGGTTAGGAAACCCAGGTCCTTGTCCTGGATTTGCTCCCAACTCCCTGTATAACCCCAGTCAACTTGGTGTCAGCTTGACTCGGCTTCAGCATTAGGAGTTGCCTGTCAATACCCTCACAGAACACAGAGAAGACTGAGAGCTCTGACTCTCTTTCCGCCAAGAGGCTCCTCGTGGCAGTGCCCCAACTCTGGGCCCTCCTGTTTCAGGCCAGCCTTGATCCGACAAGTATCACAGTAGTCTCTAAGTATCTGTCCAGGGATGGGAACTGTGGCCCCTTTCCCCAAAGCACAAAGATTATTACAGGTTGAGAGATAAGAGGGCAGAGAGTGTTAGGGATTTTGCAAGATGGGGGAGCACCCTGTGCCCTGCTCCAGCTCTGCCCCACTGACAGTGGAAAATAAATGCCGGAGTTTCCTCCCTCATGTTTTTTTCCCTTGTGGAAACCCCCTCAGGCCTGGGGCGGGGCTGAAGGGCCAGGGCGCCCCTGGGTCTCTCTGAGGGTATTTTCAGGTGGGGGAGGCAGGACTGGGAGGATGGCACTTCTGTACAGCCTCGTGTGAAATGAGCAAAGGCAAAGGAAGTGCCACTTCACAGGCCTTTCATGGGGCCCTGGGACTGCGAGCTGCTGCTAGGCGGGAGGAAGCAAGTGTTCAGCCTTCCTCTGTGCTGCCTGGTGGGGGAGGGGGCAGCCTCCTTAGCTCCCCCAGCCAGAGCTGCCCTTGGTGGAGCCCCCGTGGTGCTGGGATGGTGAGAGGAGAAGAAGGGAACTGGGTCTTCGTGAAAGGGGCCCAGCCCCCCACAGCCTTCCCAGCTGCAACTGTCTTGTTTCCTCCTCCTCTCCAGCCCCTAGTGGGTAGAGTCAACTCTCTCTCTGGCTCTTATCCTACCTGCTGCAGTGTAGGATCCTTTGCAGCGGCTGAACTGGGGAGAATGGGAAGAGCTGTAGAGTTCCCCAGCATGGATTTTTTTTTAAGGCTGGGAACTAGGCTCTCTTGGGTTTTGTCCCTGCGGATGGGGAAAAGGGGAAGAAAGAGAGAGACTCAGCCCTTGGCCTGGTCCCAGCCCCACACTGACCTCATGTCTCCCCCAGCTTCCTCCTCCCAACCCAGCTGCAGCCAGCTGCAGCCCCTTTGAGCCTCTACACATCACCTCTCCTCCTCCCCTCCCTTCAAAACAAGCAAACAAACAGACTTGCAGAGCTGCTAAAGCCCTTTCACCTCATCCTTCAACAAGGGTCTTCAAATGTTCCAGTCCTTTGCCTTATCAGGACCACTTTTCCTACCCATCTTCCTCATCACCTCTGGGCTAGCTATGCCTGCTTCACCCCTCACTCTTCCAGTTAAGGACAGGGCTATCTAGCCTGTGTTACCCTAACTTGTGCCCCTTGGGGAGGAGGAAGTTGGTTGCCCTCGTCTTGTGTCTCCTGGGCATAGAGGCTCTTCCTTGTTCCCAGAGTCAAAGTCTGTGAATTGACGGGGGAGGAGATGTGCGTCAGTCTGCAGCTCTTGCTCAGTCCTGTGCTGGGCTTCTGGAAGTAAGCAGAAGGACAGACTTCCCTCCTCATGAGGCATCTAATTAGTTCAGCACAATGAACAGAACAGACAGTGCTGGGGAAGGCAGGGCAGGAGAATGGGTTTCTGTGGTGTCCTGGAGAAGGTGGGAAACAGATCTGGGCCCTGAAGGACCTGAAGTGGCCAGCAGAATTCCAGGAAGAGGAACTCTCACGTGCAAAGACATGAAGGACAACTGAGTTCATTCAGCAGCCTAGGTAGACAGGTCAGCCAGGACCTTGCCCTCTTGGCCCTGTCAGCCTAGTGACAAGAGATAAGATTCAGATCAACCTCCAAGTGTGCAAAATGGAATGTGTCTGAGAGAGAAAAAGGGACCAGAACTTGGATGGAATAAGTCACCTGTGACTTGGGTGATTTGCCAAAACTTTCCTGGAGGAGCTGGTGGTGGTGCTTGGCTCTGGAGGACCAAGGATGGGGGGGGTCCCTTGAGGCAGTTGGAGCCTTGTGAGCTGTTGAGTGGGGGTTAGAGGATGGAAGAGGGGAAGAAATGCTGGATTCCATGGGGACAGTGAATGTTGCTGCTTGGTGTGTTTTAGGGAAGGGAATGTGGAGGCTGCTTGTAGAGGATCAGGGTGATATGGCCAGAGCACAGGATCGGGAGTTTCAGAGTGGGCTGCAGAAGGGAAGCCCCCTGTCATGGAGGCAGGTTAGAAGGCTGTAGTCAGTTCCCATTGCCTCCACACTCCCCATCTCTGAGGGCCTGTTCCTCCCCTCCCCCACTCCCAGTTGGGACACTTCCCCTGCCATAACGGCCACAGAGATCTGGCAATCAAGCAATCCACTGCTTCCTTTCCCTCCCCCATTCTGGGTCTTCTTGGGCCACACCCCAAGAACAGGCCCCACTGGGTATAAGTTGGGCTCCAGGGACCACATGCAGAGAGGGTTACCCCCCATGAGCTGTGCTCCAATGGGCTGTGCTCCCTGCCAGAGCCGGGCAAGCTGGCACTAGGAAGAGAGATTTTTGCCTATCCCAGTTAAAGCTTTTGGCTGCCATTGCTGTCCAGAGAGATTCAGCATTGCAGTGTTGGCTGCAAGGGTGTTAGTCCACTTCTGGGCTTTTGAGGCATCTGTCCAGATCTCAGTAACAGGGGCAGAAGTAAGCAGATCAGAAGACAGTGTTTGCACACTCCTATGTGCCCAGTCCTGGACTCAGCTTTTCTATGGGGGAGTCAAGAGCAGCTCAAACTCCAGTGTTGGGGGGCATCCACAAGCTGGGAAACTTATGTATGACTATTGGAGAAGGAGAATCACACGGAACCAAAGAAGGGGCGGCCATGCTATGGAAGTTCAAAGAAAGGAGAATTCAGTGGCCTCTTGGGACTGTGAGCCTTAAGCTAGGCCTTGAGGAGTCAGGAAGATAGGAGAGGGGAAAGGGAATGGCAGCAGACGGAAGAACAAGAGTAAAAGTTCAGAAGCAAGAATGATCCTGTCTTGTTTACAGAGGACAGTGAAGACCCCTCTGGAGCAGGGAGCTGGGAACTCACATTTGCAAAGTCCACATATACTGCATATTATCACATTTAATCCTTATAACAACCTTGTAAGCTTGGTACTATTACTTAAGTCATAAGTGGCAGAACTAGGGTTTAAACCCAGGTTTATCTGACTCCAAAACCCCTACCAAATTATGAAGAACTCTGAACATCAAGATGAGGGACCAGGCATGATCTGAATCAAGTTAGGAATAAAAAGCCAGAACAAGTCATACAGATCTGCAGACATTAATTTATTTACTAAACAAAAGTTCTTTAAAAAGAAAAGTCAGGGCCGGCCCGGTAGCATAGTGGTTAAGTTCACATGCTCCACTTCGGCAGCCCAGGATTCACAGGTTCGGATCCCAGGCGTGGACCTACACACCACTCATCAAGCCATGCTGTGGTGGTGTCCCACAAACAAAATGGAGGAAGATTGGCACAGATGTTAGCTCAGCGAGAATCTTCCTTAAGCAAAAAGAGGAACATCAGCAATGAATGTTAGCTCAGGGCCAATCTTCCTCACACACACACACGAAAAAGTCACTGAATGAATAAGTCATAATTGATCCCCAACCCCAGGTAGGCCATTCGCCTTGTTTGGCCCCCTGCAGCATTGACTGTCTCTTCTTCCTGTGTGGCACAGGTTAGACACTACCTTTGAGGATGTGCCCTCCTTAAATGAGCTGTGGGAACTTATGTGACCCAGTTGAGGCCATAGGATTTCAGAGAAAAGAGTTGTCCTGGGAGGGAGGATAACGGTCTGAACTAGAGCTGAAGAGAGAGAATTGGGCTGAAGCCACTACTCAGACACCTGCACGCTTAGTGCTTCCTGCCTCTTGGGATGAAAGGTTTTGCTCTTGTCACCTCCTATGTGCACAGCACTTCCCAATTCACAAAGCACATTCATTCCTATGCTTGGGATCCTCGCTGCTGCCCTTTAAGGTAGGGAGGGCAAGTATTATCACTCGTACAGAGGAAGAAACTGAGGCTCCAGGAAGAGAAGTGTCTCACTAGCTCAAGGTTACAAGGTCAGCTGGTAAGGGGTAACTTGGAGGCTGTGCCACACATTGAGGAAAACACAGGACTTTGAATTGCAAAACTGGGGTTTGTGGCCTGACTCCCATACTAACTAGCTGTGTGACTTTGGGTTACTTTAACTGCTCTGAGTTTGTTTCCTCAGCAGTAAACAGGAATAGTATCACTAGGTTGTTATAAGAATCAAATAACCTAATACCATGTGATCGATAAAGTGTTGTACCTTGTGAAGGCTTATTATCCAGGGGCAAGGTCAGCAGGTGAACCCAAGAGGTCAGATTCAGGGATCTGGTGCTCTTGGCCCTATGCCACACTGCCTCTGCCCTGCTTGTTTCTGGACACCACCTCACTCATGATCCTTTTCCGGTGTCAGTGCCTGTTCCCTTACCAGCCCAGACGGAAGCCACCCTCTCCCTCCCTGCTCCTTTGAGGGCTGATTTACTGATTGCTCGTTGATAACCCCTCCCTAGAGAGCTGCCTGGAGCCGCTGTACTTCCAGTCTCTTGGGCCTTGTGACTGCTGGCCAGAGTTCCCTCCTCGCCTTCCTGCCTGGGCCAGCCCAGTGCTGGGCTCTTGGAGGACGAGTTCCCACTCCCCTGCTCTGTGTGGAATTGAAGATTTACAGGCCTAACTGTTCTGCTCTCGAAATACCGGGGCCTCCCAGATAATCCAGTGGATATAAGTAATGGCACTAACTCACCCAAGATGCTGTCTCCTTTCCCCAAGGAAGGAGCCACAGAATTCTGAGAAGATGAATGTGCCCTAAATTGCCCCCATGTGCCCAGGCCTTATGCATCTGCTGACTGACTCAGCCTTCCCACCTCACCCCCACCCTATGCTCCTGGGGGCCTTTCTTACCCCTATCAGCCTATCCCCTGCTCCCAGGGCTCTTAATGTCTCATTTCATCCACCTAGTGCCCTTATCTCAGGCATTTTTCTCTCCATTTCATGGATTGGGAAACTGAGGCCCAGAGAGGGTAAATGCCTCATGCATTTACCTCATGCTTGGTTGCAGTGAGTCAGCAGCCGAGAGAGCTGGGGCTGGTTAGGTCTAGAGCTTAGGTTAGGGGCTAGAGCTTAGGTTAGGTCTCTTGACTTCCAGTCTGAAGTTCCCTCCACTGCCCTAGAGGGTCCTTATGTCCTCCCCAGACCCATTCCCCAGGCTCTCTATCCTCTTTACTGAGGTTGAACACACACACTTATTCATGCAAATAAGATGGAAATATTTTTAATATGAACCAGAGAAGGCAACCTCATAGGGTGAAACTGTTTCCTTCTCAGCTGGTCCCAGGGAAAGCTGGGGCCAGGGAGGGAGGTGAACCCAAGCCCTGGGTCCTGTGCAGATCCCACACCACCAAAGTGCCTTTTCCACTTCCCACCAGGTGATTCCCCCCAACTTTGATTTTTGAGGCTTTTGAACCAACAAATGAGAGGTCAGGCTCGGGGTAAGAGGTTCTCAGACCAGGGTGCAGCCTTGCAGTATATAAAGTAAAATGGAGAAAACAGGCCAGTGGTGGTGGTGCTTGGGTAGAGCAAGGGATACTTAGAGATCTGGATGTGTCTAAAACAGGGATGTTGCCTCCCAGGGAGCAGGGACCTGGTTGTGGGAGAGAGTCAGGGAAAGGAAGTCACATACTGGCCAGCAAAATGTCCCCCATAGCTGAGAGGAAGTAGCCAATGAGAAGAGGACCTTTGCCACAGCAGTATAAATAATCACAGGGTTTCCGGAAGCTCTGTTCTGTTCCAGAACTCAGAAGAGCACTTCTTTACCCCGAGGACCTGTGAGCTGCAGAAGGGACCAGGATAATGGCTGGAGCTGGGACTCCTCTCGTACTCACCCCACTAGTAATTACAGCAGCCCGTTCATTGGGCACTTCCTGTGTGCCACGCCTCATGGCAAACACTTCCTGTACATTAGCTCATTTCATACTCTGAGCAATTCTGACACAGTCAGCAAGATGATCCCACGGTACAGATGAGAAAATTGAGGCTCAGGAAACTTAAATATGTTGCCCAAGATCATACATGACTAGTTGGTGAAGCTGTGACTAGCATCCCTGGCCAGTCTGACTACGGCATGTGTTCTCAGCAACTGTGCTTTAAGGGCACTGTGTTCTCTATGCAAGAGTCTGGAAGCCCCTGAAATTCTTCAGGGGCATATACCATAGTCTCAGGAAAGGGACCATTAAGAGGAGAATCAAGTTTTTGTCTTACTCTTCTGTTCATCCCTCTTGGCTGGGCTTGGAGGATCTAACTCACCCCACCAAGGGCTTTGAGGGAAGATGCTGACATCTGAGAGCCACAGCCTCTGCCCGCTTCATCAGTACATACTCAGATTCCAGGTCAAATCTCAGCCCTGGCTCCTCCATTATTCCCCTGTACTGAGTTGTCAGCCTGGGTATGTGTGGCTAGATAGGGTTTATTTTGCTTGCAGGAATGATGGGGTGAGCTCTCCCTCCTTTTCCCTAAGGCACCCTGGACTGAGACAGGGCAGCCATCTAGAGAATTGTGCTCCTTGCTCAGCAGGTTTCTCAGGGCACCTTTTGGTTTAGACTCAGTAGCCAAGATGTCAGGTTTGGAGGTGAAACATCTGTGCACTGGCCTGGGTGGGTCCTGAGTTGGGAGAGGTTCCACCCAGGGCTGCATCTGAGTGACCCGGGACAGCTGCCACGTGCCAGAAACTCTCTCCAGTCTCCTCAGGGGGAGGTGACCATATGTGTTAGAGGATCTGGTAGATCCCTACGCTTGTGCACCCTCCATTTGTGTCTGTATGGCCTGGAGAAGAAATAAAAGTAGCTAATACTTCATGAATGCTTATTATGACCAGACACTGTTCTAAATGCTTTACAGGTATTAACTTATATAATCCTCACAACAACCAAATGAGGTAGGTATTATTTTGTCCTCATTTTACAGATAATAAAACAGGCATAGAGCGGTTAAGTAATTTGTTCAGGGTCACACTGCTAGGAAATAGCAGAATCAGGATTTGACCTTAGTTGGTCTTGGCACCAGAAGTTATGTGCTTCACATAACGTAGTACACATTATAGTGCCAGCCTCGTTAGATCTGAGCATCTTTGCTTGGTCTCGCTCTCTCTCATTGTGTATCTGTCTCCCTGAGGACTGATGGAATTGCAGGATGGTGTCAGGTTAAGAAAACAGGAGCTGGTTTCCCTCAGTAGGCCCCCATCCTTTCTTCCCCATGGGTAGAGGCCTCCCTAACCACAAGTGTCCCTCTCATCTTTCCATAGGTCACTGCATCCAGAGGGGCCCGGAACAGGGAGGAGGCATTGCCTCCACTGCAGCAGCTGCACCCACGATGCAGAGCATCAAGTGTGTGGTGGTGGGCGATGGGGCTGTGGGCAAGACGTGCCTGCTCATCTGCTACACGACTAATGCCTTCCCCAAGGAATACATCCCCACAGTGTTCGACAATTACAGCGCCCAGAGTGCAGTGGACGGGCGCACAGTGAACCTGAACCTGTGGGACACAGCGGGCCAGGAGGAGTACGACCGCCTCCGCACACTCTCCTACCCTCAGACCAACGTCTTTGTCATCTGTTTCTCCATTGCCAGTCCGCCCTCCTATGAGAATGTGCGGCACAAGTGGCATCCAGAGGTATGCCACCACTGCCCCGACGTTCCCATCCTCCTGGTGGGCACCAAGAAGGACCTGAGAGCCCAGCCTGACACCCTCCGGCGCCTCAAGGAGCAGGGCCAGGCACCCATCACACCGCAGCAGGGCCAGGCACTGGCCAAGCAGATCCATGCTGTGCGCTACCTCGAGTGCTCGGCTCTGCAGCAGGACGGCGTCAAAGAAGTGTTTGCTGAGGCCGTCCGGGCCGTGCTCAACCCTACGCCAGTCAAGCGTGGGCGGTCCTGTGTCCTCTTGTGACCCTGGCACTCAGCTTGGAGGCTGCCCCTGCCCCCCCACCAGTTGTGCCTTGGCGCCTTGTCTGCCCCCAGCTGTGCCTTAAGGACTAATTCTGGCACCCCTTGCCAGGGGGCTCTCTGAATGCCTTTTTCTCTGAATGCCTATTCCTCCTTAAGGAGGCCCACAGGGAAAGGGGCTTTGGGTCCTGCCCCACTCTGCTTGGGAAACCCAGGTATTCTCGAGAGCTCACCCAGGCCAAGGTTGGACCCCTCCCCAAGATGCCAACCCAGTGCCCCCTCCCCATTTCCCCCTACTGACCAGTTGATCCAGCTTTCCACACAAATGTTGCTGCCTATTGTGGTGCCTTCTCTCAGGTTAGGAGCTCTCAGCCGTCCCTAACCTCTCCCTTGCTGCTCCTCAAATTGCTCCCCCCTAAATGCTCTCTCCCTTCCCCAAAGAAGGAGCCACAGAATCCTGAGAAGAATGAATGTGCCCTAACCTACCCCCATGTGCCCAGGCCTTATGCATCCGCTGACTGACTCAGCCCCTAACCCCCAACTCGGGCTCCTGGGGGCCTTTCCTACCCCCATCAGCATCAATAAAACCTCCTGTCTCCAGTGGCCCCGGCTCCTCCCTGTGTGCTGGGCATTGGGGGTTGGGCAGGGGACGGGCATGGGCTAGGGCTCCCCAGAGACTGGGAGCCTTTTGTTTCCTGCAAGAGGGGACAGGAGACAATAGGCTTCATTGTGGTCCCCCCACCCCCCAATTTCCCTAACAAAGCTCTGGGCTCCCTTGGAGGGGCCAGTCTTGCTCTGGGGCCCAGCCACAGACTCTGTAGTGGACTGGGATGCAAAGCATGAGGAAAGACTTCCTGATCTAGGGTTCAGAGAGGAACAGGTTGAGAACCATTAGCCTGCAGGCAGGTGTTCTCACAGTCATGCATCTGAGAGCTGTCCCCTTACACCCACAAAGGGACTGATCTTTACTGATACTTGGGGCTGGAACCCAGGCCTTTGCCTCAACCCAAGACTCCCCCAGGTATCCCAGCTTCTAGGCCTGGAATCATTATAGGGATAGCTCAGTCACTCCTGCTCACCAAAATGGGGGCTTACACCAACCTTAGGAGACTCCGGGCCTAAGGCGGGTGAGGGGATATGCCACTTGGAATCATACTCTGCCATGGACTTAGTCCCTCCCTCCTGGAGCCTGTCCCTTACCTCACTTCCATTAAAGAGATGAGCCCCAAGACAAGCCTAGCCCAAACTGTTGGCAAAAAAAAAAAATTTATTCTCCTTTGAAATAAAATGTACAGCCAAGAGAGCTCAGGGTCTGGGGCAGTAGGGAGGATGGGGAGATACCAGAGAGCCCATTTAGGAGTAGGAATCTACCTCTGATCCCCCCACCCCACACCTTTGCCAAGGAGGAAGAGTTTGTAAGCCAGAGATTTCAGAGAGGAAGGGAAATAATGTGCTGGGCTAGTGCTTTTTCTGAAGCAGGTCATCCTTCAGGTACAGAACACCACCTCTACCAGGTGATGTTAGAACCACACACAGGCAGAGCCCTTGGAAATCATACAGCCCCATCACCTACATGGATACACTGAAGCTTAGATAGGGAAGGGCACACACCAAAGAGGTGAGGTCAGGACTTGAACACCTCAGCAACCTTAGGCCACAGACCTGGATGTACACAGTAGATCATTAGACACATTAGTCTAGTGAGTGACCCCATAGAGAGAAATGGCTGTGGTTTTTGGGTAGCCACTGCTCAGTGGTCTCTGACCTCAATGAGAGGCAGCTATGTAAAGGCCAAGAACCAGATGATGGTTATGAACCTCAGGACTTTTTTTTTAGCACCAGATGGTGGAACTCTCCTGGGAGCTCGGCTTCTTGGGGCCTCTCAGGTAAGGGTGATGCTGCTTGAAGGCTCCTGGGCCTTCAAGTGGGTGGGAGAAAGAAGCCAGCAGGGCTGGGTAAGCCTTGTCTTGTGCCCTTCCTCCCTCCCTCCCCATTCCCCCAGCTTCAGTTGGGCCCAGAGAGGACATAGGGTGGAAGGCCAGAGTGGTATCTTGTTTCTAGTTTCTGGGCAGTGGTCTTCCTCCTCCTCCTCAGCAGGAGAAAAGGGTTTAGAATCGCTTTTCCTCAGGCTGGGAGGTAATGAGCAGCTCCTTGTTCCCGAAGTCCCACCAGGCCGTCATGTGGAACGCCATGTTGGTTAGGACAACGGTGTACTCGAGGATGGCGAAGATGGTGTACACTGTTGTGAAGACACAAGGAAGAGGGCATAGTGAGCCTCCTGCCCCGCTCCCCACCCCCCACGAGGGCCTCCTGATAAATGATCACCACTACATGACTGCCCAGGGAACACTGGCAGCCAGCCCCCAAGACCATTGTCATGTTGCACATTATAGAAAATATCAGAACTATCCCACAACCACTGTGACCACCTATGGATTCTAGCCTGGCCTCACCTCCAGCCTCACAATACATGTTGTGCCGAAAGTAGACAGCCAGCGCCGTGAAGAAGGAGATAAAGTTGATGATGAAGAGCCGCTGTTTCCAGTTGTAGGACTTTCGATCCTAGGAGACAGGCTGTCTGATCCCTCTGCAGCTTGTTGGATATGTGTGGGCAGCCTTCCCTCTTAGCCCCACCTCACAAGGACTGAGTCTAACCTCCCTTGTTCATGGAAGGGGACACAGGCATGGGCAGCAGGAATGATGGGCATGTTCACATCCCTACATTTGGGAGTGTAATGAGGCCAAAGAGCAAAGGTGTCCCTGCCCCTCCTACTTTAAGGGGACAGTGTATGAAAGTTTCTTGGAGTCACCCACCAACCCAACACCTCCAGATACTGTGGGGAGAAGAAAAGCGTGTGTATGGGGGAAGATGGATTGCAGTTATTACAGACCACAGACCCTTGACACAGTGTTCCTAACCCACTGTGGCCTGGGTCCTGCCCCTCATTCTACCCCCATTTGGAGCCTCCATCTCTTCTCCAGTCTCCCATAATACCCAGTACTACACAGTCCTAGGTTCTAACCGATCAGTCACCCTCCACTTGTCTCCAAGCCCCAGCCCCAGCCCGGTTCCCATTAGAGTTCCAGTTCCCACCTCACCATTACCCGTGTCCTGTGGACGAGTGTCCTTGATTTTCCTCTGGGCTGCCTGGAGCCCCACTAGGGGTAGACCGTACCTCCTGACTTACTGTGTGCTTCTTGGTCAGCCGCCAGAGAATGCAGGTGAGGAGCATGTGACTGAGGGATGTGGCGATGAACACAATGAAAGCATTTTCGTGGATGGCTGGAGGGAAAGAGGAGGGTTGGGAGCATGCATTGCAGGGAGCACCCAAACCCCTTTGTCTGAAGATCCAAGCGAGGGAGGGGCAGGGGCGTCCCCTCCCCAACCCTCCCCGACTCCTCCTTCCCTCGGCTAGGCACCCACTGAAGTCCTCAGAAGAGGAGACGTAGGTGAGCACTAGCAGCGCGAGGTTCTCCACGACGTTGAGGCCGAAGTTGAGGCAGCAAAGCGGGCGGTAGCTGGGACACGGGGAGGTACAGCTGAGGTAGTGGTTCCAGTAGGCGAAGGCCACCAAGAAGCGGGGCGCCGAGTGCAGGCCGATGCAGAAGCGCCACACATAGCGCTGGGGCACCTCCCCACCGATGGCCGAGCTCACCGACGGCAGGTAATTGGGCACCTAGAGAGTTGTGACCTGTCTGGGCACCGAGCTCTGGCGGCTCACCCACCTGGAGATCCTTTTCTCCACCTGACCACCTCGGCCCTCAGAAGGCTCTGCTGCAGCCCCTTCCTTCCAGGAAGTTCTCTTTCAGCTCTCCCAGACCACCTCCTGTTTCAGGTCCTGGGCCCCCAGTGTGCTTGCTTCTCATTCCACAGCCAGCCTAGGGTTTGTGCAGGGGCGTGCTGAGACCTTCTCCATCTCCACCCAAACTGGAACCTACACATGGCTGGGAAAGCTGTAGACAGGTTCAGATACTCTCTGAGCCCACAGAGCAGGGCTGTGCCCTCAGAAAGGCCCTGTGGGACGTTCCAGGACCCGAGGACCCGAAATTCAGTCCCGAGGACGGGAATGGATCACAGACCACCTGAGCTTCTTTGGGACAGTGCTGGATTCACCGTCCAGCAGAGCTGTTCTTCTGACTGCTCCAGTTCCACTTGTTCTTCTGGGCAGGTATACCAAGGTGGCGGAGGCTACTGTGAGATCCTGGGGGAGGTGGGCTGGAAGGATACCCTCACCCTGATCATGTCTAAGAAAGTGGGTGCTCCTAACCTGGGGTGATCTAAGAAAAGGCCCCTGTTCTTTTGTCTCTCTCCCATCCATCTTTCTCAATACCCAGAATTCCTTGTTCCTTAAGGAACTGGAGCCTCATTCTTTAAAGTTGAGGGAGGAGCTCCCAGCTGCAAGGACCGGTGTGTTGCTTGTATGGGAGGGTGAGAGGATGGGGGATGAGTGAACGGTAGTTTAGGTGGGGACTGGAAAGCCAGGGATGGGAGCCAGGGATCTCCTAGACTCCACGCCTCGAGCAGTGCTTCTCAAATTTAATATGCATGCAACTCATCCGGGACTGTGTGAGAATGCAGAGGTCTGGAATCTGAGAATCCACATTTCTGAAAGATTCCAGGACAGAGGGAGCCAGTCTGTTGCCTTTCCATGGACTTTTTTAAACCTTCAACAAGGGCCAGAGCAGTGCCAGAGGCCAGCAACCCAGTGAGGGAATGACCCTGCTGTGACTGGTGGGACCAGTGTTCAGAGATGGATTCTGGAAGATCCCTTCCTTTCTCCCACTAAGGATGTTGAATGGGTCTCCAGAGTGGCTGGGAAGGTGGGCAATGATGGAGGCAGCTTACAGAGCAGGGGTGGTCCTAGGGGAGGACCTTCACAGGAAAGGAGGTGGATTCCCCTCAGCACTGTCAGAGGAAGCTAAGTGCAGAGCTCTCAGAGAGAGGGTGCTACTCTCAAGGCCATGGCTTGAGGTATCATACCTTGAGAGCAGCTCAGATCTTCAGTCTGAGTCATCAGTGAAGAGGCAGCACCGGGGCTCTGGAGCCATAGAAACCCGAGTCTGCATCCCAGCTCTGCCTTTATTAGCTGGGTGACCTTGAGCAAGTCACTTCACCTCTCTGAGCTTCAATTTCCTCACTGGGAAAAGAGGGATAATACCACCTACCTTGCAGGCTGATCATGAATACTAAATATAATGTAGGCAAAGTGTCTGCAGTATCTGGCACACAGTGAGCACAAGTGATGGCTTTCAGAAGACAACCTTCCCTGAAAAGCCTGCAAAGAGGCAGTAAGCTATGTGGCTGCTGAACATGGGAAGGCGTGCATATGAGCGAGAGGTGGGAATCATATCTTCACCAGACACTTCTGAGCCAGCCAAGCCTCCTTACTCATCTGCCCCTCTGAGTAGGTCCCCTGAGTAAGGTTAGTGGGAGTGTTGCCTCCACTTCCTAGAATATTCAGTCTGAAAACTCCTGCCCCAATATCAGCTGTTTTAAGGGGAACAGGACCAGCATCTTAAGCTTGGCTGGGAGAGCCCAGAGTATTTAAGGGCCCAGAGCCCTGACTGATGCCGGGAAGCAGGTGAAGAGTAGACATGGCAGAGTTGGGGGGATGCCTCAGGAGGAAGAGAGACTTAGGACCCTGTGGCTGCTGGGCCTGTCCTTACAAGCTCCTCTCAGATTAGGGGTGGGGGCAGGATTCTGAGAGCAGGGATTGCCCCTCTCATCACACAGATGCACAGACACAGACACACAGACAGACACAGACACACAGATGCATAATCAGGTATAGATACTCATACACACACCCCCATCCCAAGCACATCAGTTCCCCACTTACCAACTATGCCAGCAACAAGCAACATCAGGAGCTATCAGGGACCAGGTACTCAGCTCACCCCAAACCTCCCCATGAGCCCAGAGCAAAGAGTACTGAGAGATGGTAACATAACCCCTTCCCCCAAGAATAGAAACCCTTTGGCCTGGAGGACGTGCCTCAGTGGATCTGCGGCAGAGCAGTAGATGAGAAATTCACATGGTATAAAGGGAGGGGTCCAAAAAATTCCCTATCATAGCACCTCAGACTTTACCATTAGAGATTCATTCCTTTGGCTGAAGATAAAAGTCCCCTGAAATTATGGATGACTTTTCTACCTACCTTACTCCCCTCTGCCCGGACCAAAACTCCCATTCCTGTCAATTCTACTTGCTACTTTCTCAGGACTCCATCCCCACCTCTCCATCCTCACAGTCCCCATCTTAGCTCCAGTCTCCCTGGGACCATGAGATATTACACTAGCCTCCTCAACAGTCTCCCCATTCTTGCCCCCTGCCCTTAAATCTGTTCTCCACTCAGGAGGCACAATGGTCTTCTAAAGCATAAATCTGATCATGTCTCTCTGCTGCTTAAAATCTTTCCAAAGCTCTCCATTGCTCTCTAGATAAAATCAAAAGTTGTCAGCCTGGCATTCACAAAGATCCTTCTTCACACTTCCTTCAGGAAGTCTTCCCCAGCATCCAAGTTGAGTTAAGTGCTTCCTTTGGTCCCTGCAATCCCTGTTCCCCCTTTTATCACAATAGGAATCCTGTCTCACTGTGTTGCGCTGACTGTATCTAGGACTGTCTCTGGAAGGAATGAGATGCTAAGGGCAAGTCCACGTTCAATTCCATGCCCCTGACACAGAGCTTCTTCCCCTGGGCCCTCAGGAAAGGCCTGATGGACTGCTCTTGGGGACAGAAAGTCCATCTATGTTTCTAGTTGGCAGAGTCCTGAGTGGACACGGGACGTGGGGCCTGAGGCTGCAAGAGAGAGAAACCAAGCTAGAAGATCCCAGGGCAGGGCTGAGGGTCTTCTCAGGTCAGGCCCCCGGTCTAGGCTAAAGCCACCTGTTACTTCTCCTGGCTGCTGGCCTCATCTTCCCTCCTCAGTCCTGGCTTCCTTTCCAGTCTGGTCTTTCCTCAGCCTCTTTCTCCCTCTCATGATCTCTCGTGCCTATTCGCGCCCCCTCCCCTTTCCCCACTCCCCTCTGTTCCCTTGTACTCTCTATGATCCTCTTCTACTCCTGGAAGACTGTGACTCTACTCTCTGAGGCTCTCCCCCAAAGTCCCCCTAACTCTGACCTGCCCCCCACCATCCTTTTATCCCGTTCCTCTCTCTCTGACCCTCTGCCTTCTCTCCTACTCTCTGATTCCACCCTTATCGCCATCTCCTGACCTGGCCCTGACCCAGATGCTGGGGAGCTGGCACTCACCCCACAGTCAGTGGCCACCGTGTACTCAAAGTGGAACACCAGGGACCAGATGATGCAGAAGAAGAAGCCGAACACGGGGAAAGTGATGACCCATAAGACCATGGCCGTGAAGCGGAGCCGGAACACGGTCCCATCAGGGTCCAAGGGCTGGGAGGCCGCAGAGAACATCCTGTAGGGAGTGGTGCCCAGGCAGGGCAAGGGACACAACTTTGGGGCCTGGTGAGATCCCTGGGCCTGAGAAAGTGGGGTCCTTTCCAGAGCTGACTCCTCAGGGTATAGGAAAGAGCCAGGGTAGAAAAAATAGAAAGAGCAGAAGGGAAAAAGAAAAACAGTGCAGAAGAGAAAGAGATGCAGAGGGAGATGGGCAGGAGCAGCAGAGATAGGCAGGGTCTGCTCTTAGGAATCCCCTTGGCATACTGGTCCTGCAGGCCCACCTCTTGAAGAGTCTGAAGAACAGAGGCTCCCAGTGGCCTGGACATGGGAGCTCTGATGGCCCACCCCATTCTCACGACTCTCACACCCACTCAGGAGAAGGGTCAGAGGTGGAAAAGCTATTATTGCCATTCCACAGAAGGGGAGACTGAGGCCCAGAACTGCGCCAGGATCAAACATTAGGACTAAGGTCTCTTGCAACCTGACAGTTTAAGGCTCCAAGTCAAGGCTTTCTTCAGGCCAAGTAACCTAGACAAAGGACCCTTGGCTCACACTGGTCCAAGCCCTCCCACTGACCCTGTCTGACCACATTCCTGCTCTTCACCCAAGTTCAACCAGGAACAGGAGGAGTGCCCCAGAACCTATTTCAATGGGACCACAGGCTACCTGACATCCACCCCCAGGCTCAGAATGATCCAAGCCTCAGGTCAGTAGTACCCTGATCCCAAGATACCGGGGTCCCTAAGGAGCCCCAGACCTCCATCTCCTTCCTCTCTGAGAAGACTATGTCACCCAATCCAAGGTTTACGGGAATCTGAGGGTCACGGGAACCTTCTCCACTCAGCTTGAACCTGCTGTGCTGGTCCAGAACTGGCAAGGACAGACCCAGAGCAAGGGAGCTGGGCTTCTTCCGCTCCGTTCTCCCTCGAAGCAGAGAACTCCCTCCTCCCACCCCGCGCTGCCCCAACCACCATGACCCCTCAAGCTGGTTCCCCTTCTGGGGAGCAGTAAGAGATAGCTTTGTATTAAAAAGGCCTAGGATCAAACCTCTCCTTGGGACTCATACCTCCCTCCATTAAGGGAACCCCAGTCCACTAGTTGAGCTCAACATCAGGGAATGGGGAGGGGCACGCACTGAGCGACACTCACACTGGGTGCTGAAGGATCCGGGGCTTGGGTTGAGGGCTCTAGCCAGACTGAGACTGTTCCAAGACTAGAGCGTCCCACCCCCAGCTCGCCAGGGCCTGCCCTCCCGCCCACAGAGCCCAGATCTCCACCCCTCCCCAGACACACAGCCCTCCCAGGACCAACAAGGCCACGTCATAAATCCTAGAACACTCTGCAACGGTAACAAGTGATAGCGGCTCAGGTCAGCCCACAACAGCTTTCTTGACAGGAATGGGGGTAGGGACCTTCCTGAGGGTTGTTTCCAGGGAAACAGGCAGATTTCTGGGAAGGGAAAGGGAGAAAGCAGAACAGGATTTGGCCCCTTTTTATTGGAGCAGGACTGAGTTTGTTTGTTGGGCCCCAGTGGAGAGCTAGCTAATCTTAGTACAATAGATTCAGGATCCCAAAGAGATCCAGACAAGCCTGAATGTGAGGTATCAGTGTCCAGCCTGTACCCAAGCAGAAACAGCTAACGGCAGCTCAGGCTGCATTAACAGAGGTCTAACAGCCAGTAACAGGAAGGGAACGGTCCTGCTCTTGCCTGTAGTGCCCAGGCCATATGAAATCCTATCCCCAGATCAGGGCCTAGAGGAGAACAGGGACAAACTGGGCCAAGCCCAGGGGCACATGTCCTGTGAGGGCTGCCTAAAGGAACTGGAGTTATGCTACCTACAAAGAGTAGACTCAGGGACCCCCCCCCCCCCATTATTGCCCTGCCATCTCTGCAGGACTGGCTGGAAGCTAGGAGGAAAGAGTAGCTCTAAGGTTCCCAAAGCAGAGTGAGGGCCAAGGCAGAGATTCACCAGAAAGACAGTATATGCTCACTATAAGAAAGAGCTTGCTAATTGTTAGTTACCAAGCCTCCTTCGAATAGGCTGCCTGGGGAGGAAGGAAGCTCCCCATCACTGGATATGTGCAAGCAGAGGCAAAGTCATCTAATTATAGACGTGGTGGACTAAGATTACTTCTTTTATTCCTAGGGTTGGCCATTCCTGGGACACTCAGGGTGAGAAATTGAGAGAATACATGAAAATCCCCAGCTGGATCCAACACGGTAGTCCCAGGGAATGGGGACAAAATACCTCCAGGGTCACTAGGCCTGGTCCTGCCCCAGAGAGGCCAGGTACCCCTCCAGCAACTACCTATGGCTTAGCTCCCTAACTAGTATGCCAAGAATGGGTTATAGGTATGCCAGGTATGCTGAGGTTATTGATCCCATTAGCCCTCAGAGCCAGCCACAAGGGGAAGAGCAAATAGCTTACTCCATTTAACTCTATAAGCCATACAAAAATTACAGTTTTCTGTACGAACTAGGACTGCATTATACCATGCCTTCCTTTTCCCAGGGCACTGAGATAGGAGGGTCCTAGCCACTTATTCAACAAATACTTTCTGATTCAGATGCAGTGCCCACCTTCAAGGAGCTCCCAGTCTGGCGGGGAAGACAGACACAAATATGATGTGATACAACTGTGTGAGAGATAACACAGGGAACTGTGGGAACTCAGAGACAGGGAGGCTGGAGAAGGCATTTTGGAGGAGGAGACACCTGAGCAGAGTTTTGAAGAATGAAGAGGAGTTGGCTAGGGTAAGAGAAACATTTGATGCATTATCTAAGATGAGAACTAGGTCAGGAAAGGCTGGTGGATGGACCCTTTTCTGATCTTCCTCTTCAGATCACCTGGTCACTCCCTTTTCTTCTGGCCCTGTTCTTTCTGATAGCTCTGAGCCCTGGGTTTCAACAGACAGGATGCCCATAGCTCAAGGCCCATGTCTACAACACTGACAAACAGAACAGGGAAAACTTCAAATCATATGAACAAAAGAAGTGGGCCCCGACCCCTGCCAGCCAGACTCCACTGCTAGTCACAGCCCTTTTCCTGGAGCAGATGCTCTCTACAGGAAGGTGGGAAGCTCAGCTGACTGCAGGCCTTCGGAGCTCTCTGTGAGGCCAGTCCAAGGGTCCATGTCCAGGCCCGGCCTCTTTCCCACCTGTAGCCCCTAGGCTAACTTCCTCTCCTGCCCTGCCTTCCAACCTGACAATCCCCTTTTACTCCTCCTCCTTCTGCTCCTCACCCTTCACATTCCCCAAACCACCTTCCCATCCTTCCTCTATCTGGAGCTCTACACAGGCCCTGAGAAGGAGGAGGACAGGAATTATCAACCTTGTTTTAGACATGGGGAAACAGGCTCAGTCTCTGTGTCTCAGGTGATACAGAGAGTCAGCAGATGAATTAAGAATATAACAGAGGTCAACACAGGTCTCACCCCATTTATTCCAATAGCCTACAGAGAAAACTCACATATCTTTCTTCCTGGCTTAACACACCATACCCCTATCCAGGGGGTGCACAGCCACCTGTGGAACATCAGAGGGGATCGGACCTACATATACACACATATAAACAGGTCCCCATGCAGACAGGCACAAATGTAGTCTCTCTCACACACAGACCCCACTCAAAGCTATTGCAGTCATGTCCCTCACAGTTATACACACCATATATATAATCACATTCCCGCAGAGACAGGCACAAGGCCACTGGGCCACACTCAGAGGCCCCAAATACCCTCTAGCCCAGTCCTGTCCTGTCTCCATCCCCCAGAAAACCATGGGGCTCCTGAATCTGCCCCTCCAAGTAGTAAGGATTGGATTCTGGGGCCTGGGGATACCCAACTTCAGTGACCCCATGACCCCAGTGACCTCCATGGAAGGTGGAGGGAGATTAATCCTTGCAACCTCAATTTGCAGGCATCCCCCCAGCAGCCCAGTATGTTTGATGGACCCCACTGGAAAGCTGGCTAATCCTGTTACAATAGAGGCAGGATCCAAAAATGATCTAATTGGGCCTGAATATGAGGTATCAGTACCCCCCCAAGCCCTACCCCACAGTGTGTGGCCGTAGTCTCCTTGAAGTGGAAGAGCAGGGACCAGAGGATGCAGAAGAGGAAGGCGACAAGTGGACAGCAGACTGTGACCAGGGCCACCAAGGTGAAGCGGAGCCGGACCAGGGTCCCATCCCGGTCCAGCGGCATTGGGACCTGGTACATCTTGTCAGACCTGGGGATGGAGTGGGGTGCTGTCAGGGCCCAAGGCAGCAAGGCTGGGACTCAGTGGTGAAGCCAGCCCTTGTGCTCAGTCCTCAGCTTAGCCATGCTCTTGGTTGGGGAGTCTGAGAAGGAAGCCACCTAGCCCCTAAGCTTGACCAGCTCCTGCCCTGGATGAAGACTGATTCAGAATCCCAGGAGAGGAGAACATTCAGCCCCAATTTCAGAGGAAAGACAGTGAACCAAATCTGTGCTAAGATGAAACTTGAATAGATTGGGAGAGCTTATCCTCACCCCTATTCCTGGCTTGACAGGCCTAGGACTACAGGAGCTGGTTTAACTAGTCTCTCTTGTTTCAGGAACCAATCCTAAAACCTCCCAGTGGACAGAATGGCCCATCTCCTCCCCCAGGCCTTTGAGTCTCTGGTCTTCGGGGCCTCCCATCAGCTCTCCCTGCTTCACCCACTGGCCCAGGGACCTTCTGCACATCCAGTCCCCTCCCAGGCTCTGTGTGCTCTGTGCATCTGCACCGCAGTCCACAGCAGCAAGGATTCCATGGAAGCCAACAGAACCCCGACTCCCTGCTTGTCCCCGCCTGCTGCCTCATGTGCTCTGAGGGTGAAAGGCTTTGCGGAATCAGGCCTGATACTAGCCTGGGCTTGCTGTTTGCTGGAGAGAGCTGCCTGGTCAGCTTCTGGAGGCTTCCCAGTACCCAGGGGCCTGTTCGCCCCCACTGGAGACTAGTTAGCTCCTGAGGGCTGTGACTCCCCGCTCAGACGAGGGTATCCAAGGTCAGGACTATAATAGCTGAGGATACACCAGCAATCCTAGCCCAGTCCCCCTCTGTCTATAGAAAGAGAGGGATAGGAACCCACTCACGGTCACACCGCAAACACAAGAGCCAGCAGTGGGGCGATGTGGGGCTCAAGGGGTTACAAACTGCAGCTCTGGCCTTCCTTAACCCCTTCCTCTCTGGGCACAAAGGCCAGATTAGGTCAGGTTTGGGGGGGGTGGGTAGAAGGGGTGCCTGTCCATGGGAGGAAGGTAAAAACCAAATCCTATACAGATGAGTCAGTCAGCCCTATGCCCATTGCAAAGACAGAGAAACCAAGACACAGAGAGAGGAAGGCCGTTCCTCAAAGCCATGTGCTGAGCCTGAGGGAAAGCCATCCTCAGAACTTAGACTTCTTGTTGCCAAACTAGGGCTGGCTCCAGATACAGAAAGAACCCGCCCTCTGGACTCAAGGGCCTTGCCAGATCACGTCCCACCTCTTCCTGGCCCCGCCCTCAGGACTCTGCCCTCTAGTCCCACCCTCAGGAAGAACCCCGACCTCAGTGACGCTGGCCTCCTGGCATTCCGGAACAGCCAGGTGGATACGCCTCTGCATTCTCATCCATCTTCCCCACCAGCCTCTCTGCCAGGCCCCATCAGGCAGCCTGCCTCAACTGCTCAAGCTCCTTTCTCCCTTTGGGGGCCAGGAGTCTCCCAGGGGAGTTGGAAGTGGCTCTGGTGACCCTCCCAAATCAAATACATTCCTTGGATCATCCCCAAGAGAATTATAAGTCCCTCCAGGCCCTAGAAGGGGAACGAATAACTTCCCCACTCAGCCCACATCCAGATTCTGGGGTAGTCCCCTCCAAACATCCCTCCCTCAAGTCAGCTGCTCTAGATCCCTCAGGGACCACTGGGATCCCCAAACTGAAGACCAGATCCTCAGGGAATGAATAGGCACTGCTCAAGGCAGGGGGGTGATAAGGAGGTTCAAGGAGCAGTCTGTTCCACTTCTTAGAGGTATGCCTGCACTCCCTTTTAGCTGTGTGACCTTGGGCAAGTCACCTAACTTCTCTGGGCCTGTTTCCACAATTGTGCAACATGGGGATCACATGGTTTAGATTACTACTAAAGCATTCCAACTTGGTCATTCTACTCCTCCAGCCTCAAGACAGGAAGCTCACTACCTGAAAGGCAGCTGGTCAGCCCCTGTCAACTCTAACTTCCTCATAGATACTACCAGATGAAAACTGCTTTCTTAGGAGTACCCCTATCTTATCTCTAATGGTTCCTAAAGATCTTCTCAGCCTCCAGTCCAAATCCACATTTACTAGGTGCCTTCTGAATACTAGGCACCCTGCTTAGCACCAGATATACATTGTTTCTTTTAATCCTCACTATCATTCTATGAGGTAGGCACCATAGACTCTACATTTCCATTTTACAGAAGAGGAAACTGAGGCTCAGGGAGGTTAAAAACACTTGCTCAAGGCCACAGGCTAATAACTGGCAGAGCTTGGATTTGAAAGTAATCTATGGGGTTCCGACGCCCCCCACATCTCCATCCCCTGGCACCCAAGGAGGAATCCTGACCAGGAGTCCCCGAGGAGCGAAGGGACAGCTCAAGCCCTGAACACCCAGCCTCGTGTGGGGGAGCGGAGGGGAAGGCGTCAGCTCAGCAAGTCAGGACAGCTGCAGTTCCCGGGCAGGCACCAGGACCCCCAGAGCTTGGGCCGGGCCCTGCGGAGGCTGACCACGTGGCCGAGCTCCCCTAAGTGGGGCAGCCCGGCGGTCTGACACACCCAACCCCATACTCACCTAGGATGTGGCGGCGAGGAGGCTGCGCTGGCGCAGGCCGGGTGCCGGGGGACCACTGGGGGAGCCCAGGCCCGACCGGGCCCAGGGTGGGGGGATAGTGGGGTGGCGAGCAGAGGGGGGGCGGGGGGCGGATCGGAGCAGGAACGGCGGGGGCGGGGCCGGCGCTCTCGGGGCGGAACTTGGGGAGGAAACAGCCCCCAGATCCTCTGCCGGCCCCTCCCCACTTCTGCAGACCCGGACCCCGGGCTCTCCCCCTTAATCTGGCGTTCTCTCGTGCCATGCCTCTCTAGCCCTGGTCTGCCCCACTAATTCTGGCTGCGTGGGGGCAGCCGGAAGAGCCCTAGACACCTTGGCTTGACACGTTGGATGACCCACCTTGTCACCTTACCTCTCATCTGCGTTCCATCACCTGTTGAAAAAACATAAAATTTATTCAACAGGGCCCCGAATTCAATCTTCCCTGCCTCCTTCCCCTTCTCCCCGATTCTAGCAGAATTACCCAGCTTCGCCCTTCGGAAACATTAAACCAATTTCGCCCCCATCTCGGCGACCCACCCCCAAGCTTTGCTCCTCAGAGCCAATGCGGGACATTTCAGCAAAGGGAAGAGCACCTTACATATAGGGAGATCCAGTGAGGCCCATCCCAGAAACTCTGGGCGAGAGCTGTTCCCACCTTTGATCAGGAGAGGGCGCCCAGTCCTGCCTAACGTCGCACAGAGTGCGGCTGTCCTACCCCCAGCCCCAGGTCTCTCCCCACCATGAGAGGGCTGATTCCCAAAAACCAGCCCCCCAGGCTTCCCTCCCCACCCTGACTGACTCATAAAGGAACCTGAGGGGACTCTTGGCTCCCTTTGCAAACACCATCCTACCCCGACCGGGAAAGAGGATGAAAGCACCAGTAATCCTTCCTGCAGGCACAATGTGGGGTGAGAGCACCTGCAGAGGGTGAGGACTTCTGAGCTAGAGTTACCATCACATTTTTCCCATTTAAATCCCTACAGTAATAACTAGCACATTTTGAGCAACCTCTGTGTCCCAGGCATTTCTCTTTTTAAGTGTTATCCCATTTAATCCTCATAAAAACCCTACGAGGTAGATACTATTACTATCCCCATTTTACCACTGGAAAACAGAGAAGGCACTTTACCTACTGGCACAGCTAGTAAATGTCAGAACCAGGATTCAAGTCTGGCGCCTGAGGTCATTCCCTTAATCACTATACATCGCTAATCCCCTAGCATTCACTCAGCCTAGGCCCTCTCTGTGGCAGGCCCCAGGCTGGGCAATGGTGGGGGACCCAAAGAGATCTTGGGCTCACTCCTGGGGGCTCCAAGTCTGGAGGGAAGGTGTCTTATTCTAAAAAGTACTTTTCTTGACTTTGAATGCTTCCTCGCCCTGTCCTTTAAAGCCTCAGGGCAAATGAACAATTAGTAAAACTTTACTGAAAGAACCGTCTCTATTTAGTTTTGATAACTAGATTCAGACCTTGGGGCTTCAAGTCATCCTCTTTGTGTGGCTCCAACCCACAGATGCCTGCTCCTGGCCCTTCTTCCCTGTCTTGACTCCCTATCTGTTCCTTTGGCCCTAAATACCATTCCCTGAGGCTGGGTCCCTTCTCCCTGCCTCTAGACCACCCCCAGTGACTGAAACTTAAGGTGCTCTAATCTTGCCTTTAATTCTCTGGCAATTTGGGCAATTCATTATATAGTGCTGAGTCTGAGTTGCCTCATCTGTAAGATGGTTTTAGACTCCTAAAACCAATCCACATCATAGGGTTGTTGTGCGATTAAATGAGGTAATGTAGCAGTGTGCCAGGTACATGGAAGGTACACCATGGTTATTACGACTAGATGTGTAAGCTACAGTCTGAACTCACCCTCAAAGCCTTTTCTGAACTGTCTGACCTCAGCTGTCACTGACCCTCTCTGAATCTGTTTCCTCCAGGTTGAAAGACTATGACCTACCTTGATTTAACGAGGGAAAGTGGAAGAAAAGAATGAGTTCTCACTATGTGCCAGGGCCTTTATGTATACTCTTATTTGACCCCTTAATAATCTGGTGAGGTAACTTTGATGAAATCCATTTTACAGGTAAAGAAGTTGAATAAGCATCTAAGCATCTAGTCTCGCCTTCATTCAGTAAGCACTCAGTGTTTGCTGAATTGGCTTTTGTCCATTGTCCAAGAAGCTGCTGCTGCTGTTGAAGGCTTCCAGTGTCTCCTGCCCTCCTGGCTGGTTTGTCTGTTGCCTGGACATACCCGAGAGAGGCCTGTGCCTGAAACAGCACCATCATTTTCCAGCCCTGGACACTTGGGTTTGACATGTTGGATAAGCCATCTTAGCCACCATCACTGTCCATTCCCCGTGTCCACACATACATACCAGATACCCCAAGCTAACTGAGCATTTGTTTACAGGGATGTT